CTCCTCAGGGTAAACGGCCTCCCTACTTTTTTGAAGAGCGTGGTTCGACGACAACACGCTCCTGAACTCGCCTTGGCCTCCCGAGCCTGAAGGCCCAGCTCGCGTATAAGCAGTCTCTGTGTAAGGAGGAGCTCCCGTATAAGCAGCCTTGGCGGAAGGGGCCCCTGCCGCTTCTCGTACTGGAAGGGCCATCTCGGGCTCCCTGGGCGGATCCACTTGCGGGTAGCCCGGTACCTTGGGCTTCGCATCTTGGGGCAGTTCGGCACGAGTTCGTTTGGCAACTCGCTTCCTCCTCTTCATGGCATGAAATAGGTTCCCACCACGAGTCTTCTCTGCGTCCCTTACACCTGCAAAAAGAGCTCAGCGTCAGGAAAACGAAAGAATGGAAAGCAAAACAAAAGGCAAGCCTCTGAGCAAGGAACCTACCCGAACTCAGGCCGACCTAGATGAGCTTGGCGTCCGTCAGATAATGGTGTCATTTTAGCCCAAGCCGGGCTCATTCCTGGAGGCCCTTCGCCGTCTCCCTATCTAGCGTGACACTGGGATCGGGGGCAGCCATCCCCCACCCGGTTTGGAACAACCACCCCATTGCACTTTGCACCCCGAAGTAGTCCCGTTTCCACACCGGGACCTTGTTGGGAAGATCGTGTAAAAGCTTGAAACCCGGGCGAGGAGACAGGTAGTACGCCTGCCTACGCCCGGGAAGGGAACCCGCTTGCTTCTTAAGCATTAGAATGGAGGAAAAGATCTCCAGGTCTAAAGGCAAAATCTGTTCGCAAAAGAGGGAGATAGTCCCAACCAAATTACGGATAGAATTCGGGTGGAGCTGACCGACGGTAATGCCGAAGTGGTTCATAACCTCAACGATGAGGGGGTGGAAAGGTAGGCGCAACCCAACGACGAGTTGCTCCCGGAATATCACGATCTCGTCAGGACCGTGTTCCCATGGGAAGTCGCCCGAGGGTATAAAGTAAGTATACTCCCTGGGCAGGTTAAACCGGGTGATTAGGGAGTAAAGTCCCTCAGGCATCATGGTTGAGGGCCCGAACTTGTCTAACGTCCGACCTCGATGGGAGGAGGACGCCAAACTACCCGAGGCAACTCGGCCTTCGGGTTCAAAATCTTCCTCGAGCTCTACCTCGGGTTCACTAAGGCTGTCGGGGGTTGCAGCTCGGTTCGTAGAACCTGCATCTAACCCCCTCGAAGAACTGTCTGAGCTGTCCGAGCCAGACATCGGGAGGAAAAGAATACCAGGAAGAAAGTGCCGACTCACCCGGAAAAAAGCAAACGGACTACGGAAGGTTGACGCAAGCTAAAAACTTGGACGCGAGCTCAAGAAGCAAACGCAGAAAAATGGAAATGGAAAGCGACTAGGGGTCCCCCACTATTTATACCCATAGTGACTCGAAACCGACGGTTCTGATCGAGGCAAATCCAACGGCCCATGATCAAGCTGACCGCACGCCTCCTAAGACCGAGACGTGACTGGCCGCACGTCTTTTGAAACTGAAACAGTGCCGGCGCACGTCACCCCGCATTGAAGGCAGCAACGACGCGTTTTTTCAAATTTGAAATAACGCCCGTTGTCACGTCTCCCAGCGACGCATTTTTTAAATTTTGAAATAACGCACATTGTCACGTCTCCTAGCATTTAAAGACGAATTGGCACGCTTCCTGACTTTTTGGCGCTGAGAGAAGCCTGGAATTCTCCTGACGAATGCACACTTCGCGCTATCAGTCAACCGGTTCGAAGTACGGGTCAAATCCACCCGCCACCTCGCGCACTCCCCGCGCCAGGGCAAGCCCCTTAGCGCGAGGAGTGGGGGGCAATTGATGAAGGAAGATTTGGCTCGACCTCTTAACCACCCAACACGTGGCAGAAGCAACAACTCGACACGGCAGTACGCTCAAGGCACGAGCTCCGAGAGGAGGAACCAGCGGTCCGAGCTCCCCAAAAGGAGCCCGAACTCCCCCTTTGACCCTGAGCCTTACGAGGAGCGCAAAGGGCAACAACTCGAACTGGCCCACCCCAGGGCAGTTCAGGCCACACCTCTATCCGAACTCAAGACTTCACCTCGCACACCACTCCAGCACTTCGTCTCCAGGCCGCCGAACTGAACGACCGTACCTGACACCAAAGGAGTTCGTATCCTGAGGCGGCGC